GCATTTCTGGTTACCTTTACAGCGAAGAAGGGCAAAAAGGACCAATGGCCATTCTGAGACAAAAAACTGAGAGAAAAGCTGGAAAGCTTTGTTTCTAGACGATGGACCTAATGCACTCCGGGTCGAGGTCGTTTTTCCATGTTCAGACGGTGTGGAACCAAAACTTAGCATGTTCAGACCGTTTGGACTAGAAAATGCTATGTTCAGACCATGTAGACGAAAGGAATCTGGTTTCAGACCGCGTGGACCGAACAAATCTGGTTTCAGACCGCGTGGACTGAAGGAATCTGGTTTCAAACCGCGTGGAACAAAGGAATCTGGTTTCGGACCGAGTGGACCAAAGGAACCCGGTTTTAGATTGCGTGGACCGGAAAAAATCCGGTTTTAGACTTCGTGAACAAAAATATTTTGGACTGAGAACGCGTGGAGCACTTTATCCGGCTTAAGACCAAGGGGTCAACAAAAAACAAAGTTACGAAAAAATCTGTTCGGACAACCCAGGAATAGTCCAACGATGTCCGTTTTCAACTTTTTGAGTCAAACGATGTCCCTTTTCGTTTTTTGATTTCTGAATCGAGCGGAAAAAATTTTGACATGATTCGACTTTAATGGACTTCGTTCGACTTTACACGACTTTGCTTGACCGTGTATAATTTACCAGAAAAGGTTAGAGTTTGCTCGACTATGTTTGACTCCGTTCAATTTTGTCCAGTTTTACCGCCCGGTTGGAGACATTGGTAGCATTATCGGCCGAGTACGGCAGCGGCTGTTCGTTAAACACAGATATATACAGTGTAAAATATATAAGTCAAGAGTAAGTCACACAAGATTTTCTCGTAGAGGCAATTTTTGTTAGAATGATCGCACAGTTACATTTGTGGGCAAAATTAAACGCCAATTTAGGTTTTTACTCTCTAAAATGCCTTATTTTGAGGACCATTTTGGATAACCTGTATTATGATTTTCACCAAAACTTTTAAATCGACCTGCTGCAAAAGATCTTAACTACACTCTCTGAAAATTTCAACTTTTGATTTGAATCAGTTACCAGTTTTTTCCAGGTCTGAAATTGCCAGTTTTCACCATTTGTCACGAGGTTTCTATGGGAGTGAACACTTTTTTGGATTAGCGGAGTAGTAAAAACTGGTCATGCGATGTGAAGCAATTTAAACGAGTAAATTTCATTGTTCAGTGTGATAAATTTCCTAAGCTCTGTTGTTTTTTATAATTTCACACCACTGGAAAAATCTATACCAAATAGTAAAAACTGGCATTTTAAGACTTGGAAAAAACTGGTAAATGATTCAAATCAAAAATTGAAACTTTCACTGATGGTAATTTCGATTGTTTGCAATAGGTCAATTTAAAAAATTTGGTGAAATTCCAAACAAATGTTAGCCCATTTGGACTACGAAAAAAGGCGTTTTGAGAATGAAAACGAAAGTTTGCGTTTATTTTCGTCCACTTGTCAATTAACAAAAAAAGTTTCTAAATTATGTTCAGAGATGAAAAAATATGATTCCTATAAAAAATAACAATAAATGAGAAAAAAATTGCCCCGAGACATGTTGAAATTAGAATATTGCAATTTCAATCTGAACAAATGCGGTTGTTTCGGGCATAAAATCCTTACCAGATGTATAAAACGCGTTTGGAAAAAACGCCAATTGATTTGCCATAACCTCCCAACAATTTTGAGCAGAATCACGATTTTATCTCGAAGTTTACTGGCAAAATTTTCCCAAACTAAAACATTTGTGCAATAAAAAAATCATGTAAAATGCGATACGGGCAAACACGGAAAAATTGAGGTTGAAGTTGAAACAAATCGAAGCCGAATAACGATTTACCTATATATAAGTTTTATAAATATATATATTCAACACACGCCCACTCACACAAAAATGGGGGAAAATGAGTATTTTGAAGCATAAAATTATCAACTACGCATCCTAGTAAACGCCATTAGTATCAGTTATATTTGATTTTCAATGTTAGTTTCTATAAAAGAGAAAAATCTGCGATTAAAAAACAAAGGAATTTACTAAACTCTGAATCGATTATAATTGTAGATTTTCTTTTCACCAGAAACTGAAATAGATACTCAAATATGGTCAACGGCTATTTATGGAATACCAGTTCGGCGAAATTCACGCTAAAGCCTTTTTGCGTAAGAAAGCCAAATCAAAACGATTCTTAGAGTTTTTTCTTCAAATCTTTGATAGTAATAAACTGAGTAACTTGCAACCAACTGGGCTTGAATATTTCATTTAGGAATCATTTGTACTTCAAAAATTGCAACAAAAATTAGTTCCATTCACGTAAACCTTATGAAGAAGTTTTGCAGCCAAAAATATTGAGCGTTTTGGCAAATAAACTTGTAAAAACCTTGCGAGCGTTATGCTCTTGAAAATATATGGTGATAATAGCCCAAAACGCTCATAGAAATAGAAACTTTCAACACTTTCATGAACTACGCCTTTTTAAACGTTTTCATCAGAATAAAATATTGGAAGCTGTTAACTAACAGCGTACATTAAGCCAAGCTACGCTGAAAAACAGTGCCTCAAAACGAATAAAAAAGGAAACCTGCCAAATAATTTGAGTGCATTGAGTCAAAGCTGGGTTAATAAATAAATTTGAAATGATCGTGGTTTTTTGGAAGTTCGTGAATTTATTGAACTTAATCTAAACCAACCGGGGTATTTTTAGATTTCAGTGCATTAAATTTTTTTTAATTTTCAACCAAGTAGCCCTTTTAAGTAAAACGGAAATTTTTCGTAGTGTAATGCTATGCCCGGACGTTTAATTCAAAAATTTTGTGTAAGTTTCAAAGTGTTCCCATAAATTGATCAAAGTCCTCCACCAGAACATTCAGACAAGTGAAAAAAGTAACTGCTGAGTAATTTTTTATCAGGTCTAATATTGAACAAGATTGCTTGTATCAGATTAAAACACTGAATATATAAAATACAAACTGATAACTGATATATTTTGCACCTAGCAAAGTATTAAAAAGACCAAATAGTAAGGATCAATTCAAAATGGTAAATTGGTTTGATTTCTACTACGGATGTATATTGCGCGTTAATTGTTCCAAATTGGCTATGTTGGCAATTTTCAACCACCCGTAATTTTGCGATGAATAATCACAGGTGAAATATTTTTCAATTAACTCGTTTAAAAATGGAAACATGTCGGTAGAAATAACCAGCCCGAGCTTGAATACTCCGTGATTTTGCTCAAAAATTGAAACAATTACGAACACAGAGGCGGATCCGCATTACGCAAACACAAAAAGCAAAAGCGCTCAAAAATAGAAGGAAGTACAGCATTAAGTAATTAGGCGTTGAAATACAAAAAATACACCAGAGACAGAGGAGATGCTGTATCTAGAAAAAAAATCTTTTTTCTTCAATTTTTTTTAAAAATATATTTTTTTTCAGTGTATTTTTTATTTTCAGTTGAATTAAATTTTAATCTCAGCGTTTTCCATATACCACTTTTAAAAAAATTAATGCGCTTTTGGTTCTAATATTAGACACAAATGCGAAGTTGCATTTCGCATACACAAGAAAAAATATGACCGATAACGCTACTGGGAAAAACTGAATGAGTAAAAATTAGAATCTACAAAATTTCTTAAGTGACGCACGCCAATTATGACGCATTAGCAGTACCAGCCATTTTGAAAAAAGTATATCAACTAACATGCCTCAATATATAGAGCAGTTTATGGAGCAGTAATAACATGAAAAAACTAAATGTAATAGAATTAAAATAATTTCTTTTTTCGAGAATTTTTTTGTGAAATCATCTCCCCACACGCCATATAAAGTACAAAATGATATGTTTTGCCACTAGTAACAAACAAATTATGGAAAATAAGCTTCCTTTAACCAATTTGGAACGATTTCTATGACGGAATAAATCTCCGCCTACGCGTTAATAGCGCGAAATATATCGCGCGTTAATTGTCCCAAATTGGCCGAAACGGCAGTTTTCAAAAAAACCCATAACTTTACAAAAAATGACTAAAGGTAAAAAAATTTTCCAACTTTAAGCTCAGGACAACAATACTTTTTGAATGATATAAAAAATTCCGTCAAAAATGGCTAGTTAAAAAGTCGAAATTTTTCTGAAGAAAAAACCACCCGAGCACAAGTATTCCGTTACTTTCGTTACAGAAGCCGGAACAATAACAGTCTGTGTTAAAGTCCGTAGCATTGCCTATATTTAATAGCTGGTTCTTGATCAAATTAAACCCATTTTATCGCAACAATATTTGCGACTTAGCTTGGAAAAAAAAGATAGTTCATACTATAACACAAGCATTGATTGTGTAAATAAGAGACGCTAAATACATCCATTTAAAGTTTACATTGCGTATGAGGGCATAAAAAGAAAAATGAAAAAAAAAGAATTTTGATAATTTTATCAATTTTTAATAGGCCTTGAAGTTCAGTATTTAAGGCTTCACCCTGATAAACGAGCTGTGCCGCTTAGTTAACACAAAAAATCTTTTTTTTTGCGCCAATTGGACTTCTGATGTTCAAGAGCGGAAATTCTTTTCCTTTTCTCTAATAAAAAGGCATTGAACATTACGAGGCCAAACTGTGCACTGGATAGTCGCACAATTTTGTGTCTGTATGCTCCCAGATTCCAGAGACAAGTCTGTAAATATGGTAAAATTTTGTCGGAACGATCAAAGAAATTGAAAGAACAAAAGAAGATCAAAGGGATTGTCCTTTTTGCGGAATCCGCTAACAATTTACAAAATACACAGTTTGGCCTTGTAATGAAGTTAAAAGAAATCACGTGTTAAAAGAAAATAAAAGTCAGACCGCAAAAAAACTGAATATAAATTTCTTTTAAATCTTTTTTCTAATAAGAAACACAGTTCATTGATAATTTAAAAAACTTACTTCTCAAGACCAATCGGAAAGCATCATGGTACAAGAGTAATCTCTTCAGTTCGCGCCCTCCTCTCCGAACAAATTGTAGTTTAAATCGTAAGTCTATCACTGTATTTTGTTCAATTAATCCCAAACTTATGAATGATTTATGTTATTTATCGTTACATTTACATTTTTGCCTTCGGGTTTGCATACAAATACCACTTACAAATGCATAAACCAAAAATCTACATTGTATAACTTTATTTTACGATAAGTGCAATAGTTTTTTCATGTCTCTTTTAGTTCAAAGCCGTCATTTTGTATATGAGCTTGAAGTTCTTTCCTTATTTCTGTTTCGCGTTGTTTCAACACTATGAGCTGAGTCCCGACAGCTAGAATGATGAAGAAAATGCCTAAGCCAGATCTCCACCAAACTATGTCTGGAAACAGAAACAGCTGCAGGACGAAACTGAAAACTGGGGACAATAGTTGAATCACAGCTGTTGCTGTCACTGTGACCGATTTTTCATAGGCTCCTTTCGGTGCAAGAATGATAATTTCTCTGTGAAAAAAAAGGTAATAAGCAACTGATTCCGAAGAATCCGCCAGCATTCAATTGTCTAAAACATTGCAATTGCTATCGGCTGCTATCTGATTGGTCAACAGAAATGCTATAGTGTATTGAAACTGCAATATCGACAATAAAACCTTTTTAGTTATATAGTTTTACGAACATATTTTCCCTACAGTGATTTCCCAGAGACCCGCTTATCATACGTGCACCTGCCTTTCAAATTAGAACACAGTGTTATTGTCTGAAAAACGGCGGCTAGAAGGGCTAGCAATCGAGGCATGTTTGCACACTGTTGTTGACTCGTGACTCTCCAGGGGTTATACGAGGTCAATCCGCTGGCAAAGTTACCCAGGGCTGCTCCCAAACTAGTCCAAGGAGGCGGTATGTTTTGAAAGCGTCGAATATTGGCATACATGCATGCAAATGAAACCCCTGCTAATGCAACTAGAGCAACACCCTTTAAATTGTCTACTTCCAGAATATTTTTAGTAAGTAAATCTTTTGGGTTGCAGACAAAAAACGTCCCAATAAAACCAAACAAAACCGAGAAGAAAGTTAAAACAGATGGAAATCTCTTGTCTTCTAGCATTTGAAATATAACTGAGCTGCAAATATGGAAAAAGACCACAACCATGTTATTATCAGCTGGTAAGATGTACTCCAGTGACCAGAAATGCAGGAAAATAGCAGCTCCTCCAAACACAAACCCATTAAGTAAACTCAGATACAAATCTACATTTTTCAAATTCTCCGTCGGCTTGAAGCTGTTGTCCAAAGCCAGAAGCAATATGCATGTTGGAGATCCAATAATGCCGACCCAAGTGCTGATTTGTGACGATTGAGCTCCCGATTTAGCAAAGGAGAGAGATCCTAACGAATAACAGAGAGCACCTAATGAGAGGTATATAACACCCCTGCTCAACATCATGATCAGAAAAGGACATAAGCGAACAGAATTTTGAAAAGTAAAGGTATTTCTAATAACTTCAACGATTTTAAGGAATTGATTTGTGGATTCTGTAAGTAGCTCAGACCGTGTGTGTTAGATTAGCGTTCCAGAGTTTTTCCCTCGCCAAAGAGATCACGATAAAAACTATTGCACTCAGTAAAATGTAACTTCATTTCAAATTAAATCTGAAAACTAAAACAACAGTCCTGTCAATATGAAAATGGTGTTGGTTATATGAGCCATAAAAATGCTTCTACCAAATAGCGTAGACTTCAAAATGTTGTAGCGACTTCGGTCAATTAGAATACTATGCTGCGCTTTAAAATCTTTCAGGCTTCATATTAAGCAATGGTGAAAAAATTTAACGAGAATCTGAGATCGAAAAATTCACAAAGGCCTTTTTATAGTAATAAAAAAAAATGTTTCCTCAATAATGCCTGTTAGACTAACCTTACATTTTCAAACGCGTTTTTCTCAAATTGAAGTAAGATAGAATTAATAACTTAAATTTTCAAACGCGTTTTTCTCAAATTGAAGTAAGATAGAATGAATATAGTGCAATTATTTCTCAGAGATTCTCAACCAAAATTTTGGCTTTTCTTAATTAATCAGAAATTACGCTGAAACTACTTTGTTAATTGATAATAAAAGTATATCACAAGAAGCCTCTTACACATACCAACAAAAATCTAGAAGGGCTAAATCTCCACAAACCTGTATAAGAGAAAATATTTTTGCTTTATATTCAAGAAACGTGATTTTTACTAAATAAAACCCAAAATGTTTGCTTAAAAGCAATTTTAAACAATTTGCACAGTTTTTTGAAGATTTAGCCCTTTAAAATTTTGTTGAGATGTGTAAGAGGCTTCTTGTGATACAGTTTTCTCATCAATTAACAAAGTAGTTTCAGCGTAATTCTTGATTAATCAAGAAAAGTCAAAATGACCCATTTTTGGGGTAAAACTTCGGGCCCGAATTTCGCAAAACAAATTACATCATATTAATTCTGCTGAAATTTTAAGCAAGTTGTGTCCTCATAAACTTTCACCTAAACTCAATCCAATCTGAGAAAAACGCGTTTTAAATTTCAAGTTTAACGCGTTTTGTCCGGTTAATTTAAATCAGCACTGTATTTATGACAACAATAATTATTTTAATCATGATCATTATAATAAGAACTTCGAAGAAAGTGAGGAGTTATATGCTTGGGGTGGTTTTTTATTCGGACCACTTTCACTAAATTCTGATCCTTCTTGATCTACATGGGGCCAGCCGAATATGCTCACAACTGGTAACCTGCAGTGAGTATGCCTTAACTTTTTTATCCCGCAGTATCAAATCTTTCCAAATTGAATTAAGGCAGCTAATTGGATTTGATGCTAGAAAAATAAGGCGACAGGGCATAAAAGTGACCGAACATTTAGAACACCAAAATGTATTAGCACCCAAAGTTACTACAAATACTAGCAATGCCATCCCAATAAGTTTCTGCAGATATCGAACCACTTAAATACAAGATTTTCGATAATAGTTATGGTAATTTTAATAATGGTTGATGCGTGTTTAATTGTCAAAATTTCCGTTTTGGGTTTCTCAGAAATGTTTTAACTTTTTGTGCTTTCATAACTCATTTTGAGAAAAACGCGTTTGGAAATTCAAATTTTGTTCGTTTAGTCCGGTTAATTTAAATCAGGACTGTTTTTGCGATAACTAAAGATTTCACGATGAAACTTACACAAAACGAACATCTCGAAACAAAGGATTTAAACAGAACAAAATATCAAGAAACACAAAATGTTTCAATCTTTCATATTTGTAGCACCCCTCGCAATCACAAGAAAAAAACTGAGAACAACAGTTCTACAAAACAGCAAAAAATTGCAACAAAATATAGAAACGTAAATTGAAAAAAGCAACTTCAAAATACAAAAAAGAAGCTGCTTATTGGATTAACTACTAAATACAAATATATTTAGAGAACTTTAGCTTAAATGAGTCAATGTGAACAACTAAGCTTCATTCCAGGGGCGGACTTAGAGGGGGGCATTCACCCCACCTCAGGGATTCGACCCCCTGACGCCCCAAAGGTTCCCCCTTTGTACTATTTTGAGATATCCACTTTTGGTGACGTACCCTAAAGTTTTTCTAAAGGCGCCTTCGGCGATAATATATATACTAATTTTGAGCGCGGAGCGCCCGCCGAAAAAACGCGACTTTCTAAAACTGTCCAAAAAAAGCCTAAAAACGCCACAGAGTCTTTTTAGTGCTTTGGGTGAGCTTGTTGCGAAATTAATTTGGTCGACAAAAATTTTTCTAGAAATTTTGAAAATCTGCCCCCCTCGAAAACATCCTAGATCCGCCCCTGCTTCACAATAAACTCGTTTAAACGACAAAAATTTTTGTCGAGCTTGTTTTGAGAAACCGTTTTGAAAACTTTTTGCATCGAGGGAATCAAAAGTGCAAAAGCTTTATTATTATATTATCTCACTCGACCCTATTTGTAGTTTTTATTTGCAGTATTATATTATGCGCGAAAAAAGTCACAGAAAAAGTAAAAGACCTGAAAACTAAATTCCTCCCGCTTCACAAACAAAACAAAAACCTCGCAGAATGCATGATTCAAATTTGAACATTTGAACATCGCGTCCAAAAATCATTCGCCTGATTCGCTTAGTCCTGACGCATGGAATTTATCATTTTACGAACAATTTATTCTTAGAGATCGGGCAGCAATTAAACTCTGCACTAAAAATGGCAAAATTTGTTGGAAAACTTGAACTGATCTTGTTACATTCTGCTCGCTTGCGTAAAAAACTCACATTTAATTATCAAAACTGTTTTATGAAAACCGTTTATCAGAATTTAACTTTTTTTCAGAAACTGCACTCTTAACTCAATTTAAAAAGAAAACTTAACATTAATTTTTTTATTTGTTGATCAGATAGTCAATTAAGAGCTCAGAGATGTAAGTTAAAAGATGCTACAACTCAAGATCTAACTTACAAGATGCTAAAGCTCAAGCTGTAAGTTAGAAAACACTGAAGCGCAGGATGTAAGTAACAAGATCCTAGAGCGCAAGATGTAAGTTACAAGATTCTAAAGCTCAATATAAAATTTACATGATGCTAAAGCTCAAGATGTAAGTTACAAGGCGCTTAAGTTTAAAATGTAAGTAAAAGATGCTGAAGCTCAAGGTGTAAGTTACATGGTGCTAAAGCTCAAAGTGTCACTTACAGGATGCTAAAGCTCAAGATGTAGGTTAGAAGATGCTAAAGCTCGAGATGTAAGGTACAAGATGCTAAAGCTCAAGAAATAAGTTACAAAATCCTAAAGCTCAAAATGTAAGTTACAAGATGCTAAAGTCAAGGTGTAAGCTACTAGATGCTAAAACTCAAGATATGAGTAACAAAATGCTTAAGCTCAAGATGTAAACTACAAGATGCTAAAGTTCAAGATGTGAGTTACAAGATGCTATAACTCAAGATGTAAGTTACAAGCAAACGTGTTGGAAACTTTGAAAAACAAAAAGGGAAAAAATTTCAAAAACACAGCCTTAGAGTGTAGAAAATGATCAAAAGAAAGCTTCAAGTCTGAGGTGCACTAAGAAGAAGGAAGCAAAAAAATACTTTCCGGCCAGAAACACATAAGACACTAATATTTAAAAAACTCCGTGAAGTTTCCGAATTTTTTGACATTTGAAAGGTTTCTAGAGCAGTGAAATGCAATTATGATTCAAGATATCAGTTATTTTTAGGATAGTTTCTAGAGAAGTTCCTTGCAATTAAAATTCAAGATATCGGTTATGTATTAGGAAAGAACTCGGCATGTATTAGGATAGTGAATAGATTTCCCCATAAATTGAGATTGGTAAAAGAAATCCATTGTATTAAGATAGAATGGAATCTGCAATGTATTATGAAATAAGGTTTGAGTACCACGGTCAGAAAATGATTTAAAAAACCTAGCTTTTAGTGCAAAAAAATTAGTGTTTGAAAAACTTTTCAGAAACCTTAAAATTGTTTTGTGAAAACTTTTCACGTAATCGTTTATTATTCAATTGTAATCTATCAACCGTATATTGCATGTAGAGTGTAAATTGAAACCCAAACGGTATAACAATTGGTATTATGTTAGAACAATGAAATAAATGTTTGTAGTTTTTGCCTTAAATTTTTTTTTTTCATTTTTCATTCAAAAATTAATTAAAAAATTTGATCTAAAATGAGTCATGAAGTAGTTTAACAAGTGTTCTAACTATACAAAGCAATGTTCATATTAAGTATGAATATGTTGAAACCTAGCTGAAAACTCCGATATTCCCTACTTTCTTGAAAAATTTTAGTTGTTTTTTCCTATTAGACTCAATTCTGTCCAAAATTCTCCACATTACACCTTTTAAACTGATACTCAACTGGCATTCTGTCAAAGTAAAGAAAAACAAACTTAACAGCATGATTTCAAATGATCACTTATATTCATTATTCTTATTTTTTGAAAACGTCTTGAAAAAAAGCGATGATTAGATTTCACCTCGAATTTTTCTCAAAGATTAGCTCAAATTTATTCAAAAAGCTAACGCGCTGTGTCTTAATCTACTTCTATAATTGACACGTATATTTACTGTCACAATTTATCCAAGTTTTTATTCACAATTGCCTTTCTAGTATTTGAAAAGGTACACAATTGGAGGGAAGTTCAAACACAGTTTTTGCAAACTACATCTAAGTATTTAACGAAAATCAAGAATTTTTAACGATTTATTAGTGCTGAATGAATCTTGCTAAAAAAACTACAACTTCTGAAAAGTCTTTCGTAATATTCATATCAAATTTGGTATCGTTAAAGGTGAATGAAGTTTATTAAGGTTAATCTCTGAAGCAAATCTGAGGTGAAATCTAATCATAAACTTAATTTAAAAAAAGTTTGGTAAAAGATGTTAAGAAATTTTGCTATAGTTGATCACTTAAATTAATTCTGCTTACCACGTTTTTTATTTGGACAGAAAGCCAGTTGAGTATACATAGAAAAGTTGCAGTGTGGAGACTTTTGGACAGATTTTGAGTCTAAAAGGAATAAACTTAAATTTTTCAAGAAAGTACAGTTACCTCAGTTGTTTTTTGATACTCGGAGGTTTCAGATCCATTTCATCTAGGCCTCAACATAGGCATACCTTATATGCACCTTGCTGTGGATAGTTAGAACACTTTGTAAAACGCATCATGACTCAAACTAAATTGAATTTCACCGTAAATCAAATTTGAGGAAATAAAAAACTCCGATTTTT